CCCCGCCAGCTTCGCTCTCAGCCTTCTCTCACTTCCCGCTCAGTCAGCGCAATCCCTCTGCCGTTCCTGCCTCGTTAGTCAAGTGGCGGATCCCTCTCTGGGGTAATGACCCCCTCCACCAAAAAATAATTCGGTCACTCAATCCGCGAGAGATTGTGGGACGCTGCTGTGCGCAATTGTCCGCCCGCATTGCGCCCGCAAAGTACACAGCCGCTGCACTTTATATGTCCTGTGAAGCGCTTTGAGACGTGATAAGGCGCGGTAACAAATGCGAGGACTATTAATATTAATATTATTAGGGAGGGGGGGGGGGTGGGTATGCCAATCCGGGAGGAAATAGAAACGTTTTCAGGCCAAGGAGGAAGCAGAGAGAAAATTAAACGCGTTGACAATTTAAGAAAACATTCCAGAAGGACGAGTTGTGTCACCCGCCCAGAACTCTAGTCACCAATGAGCGAATCTCCGTGTTGGAATGGACAGATGTAGTTCAACAAACACCAGGAACACCGCCACACCCGGTTTCTGTGTCTACTGGTAAACACAACCGGACAAAGGACGTTCGTGACACAACCACCAAACTGCTGGTGAGGTGACAACGGTATCACCATCAGCCCCCCCCACCCCCCCCCCCCACCCACCACTAACACCCCCCCCCACCCCCCCGGCTCAGAGTCAAGCTCCGCCACTGTTAAGAGCTCTCTGAGGCTCTACCCAGTGTGGAGGGCGCGACATAAGTGGAAGTTGTTGTTGTACTGTAAAGTGTAGTGACTGTGTATTTTTTTGGGTGGGCGAAACAGAGCAGAGGTATCCCACGCACACTGAGTGACCGAATTACAACAACAACAACAAGAATTGCATTTGTTTAGCGCCTTTCACGTCGGGAGGACGTCCCAAGGCGCTGGCAGGGCAAATTATTCCGATTTATTTTTGTAAATAATAATAATAATAATGAGCCTTGCATTTGATACAGCGCTTTTCGTGTCTTCTCGACGTCTCAAAGCACTTCACAGAATAATAATAATAATAATCCTTGCATTTGATATAGCGCTTTTCACGTCGGGAGGACGTCCCAAAGCGCTTCACAGAACACACTGTAAAGTGAATTGACTGTATATTTGTGGGCGAACGCGGCAGCCAATTGCGCACAGCAATGTCCCACAAACAGTCGTGGATTGAAAATGACCAATTTATTATTTTTTGTTGTTTTTTTTTGGAGGGATTGTTATTATTATTATTATTATTATTATTATGATTATGATTATTATTATTATTATTATTATTATTATTATTATTATTATTATTATTATTATTATTATTATTATTATTATTATTTTTACCCCCGGAAAAGCCATCCGCCAATTGACTATCAACCAACTTCCTGGTAAACAGAGGCGTGTGCGTGTGGAGTAAGGTATCTTAAGCCCAATGTTATGCCCTGCCCGGCTCCTTCGCTTGGCGAGGTGAGGGCTCTAACCACTGTGTTACGGGAGGTCAAGTCAAATCACGTCCCAGTTGGCATTATCGCTCCGTAATCCCCAACTTCCCATAACAGTATCCAACTGATTCATCAATGACTCCCGGAATCCTGACCTGAAACACCCTTCCCGGTTTCCTCGGGGTAATCAGGTCATCAGCCCAGCTCGCACATGACTGTATTTACCCGTCACACATCCTGTTCCTTTTTCCTCTAATAATAATAATAATAATAGTAATAATAATAATAATCCTTGCATTTGATATAGCGCTTTTCATGTCTTCTCGACGTCTCAAAGCGCTTCATAGGATATACTGTAAAGTGAATTGACTTTATATTTTGTGGGGGAAACGCAGCAGCCGATTGCGCGCAGCAGTGACCCCACAAACAGCCGTGGGATTGAGTGACCATGTTATTCTTCTTTTCTTTTTTAAGAGGGATTATTATCCCCGGAAAAGCGATCCGCCACTCGACTAACAACAACAACAAATTATATTTGTATAGCGCCTTTCACGTCAGGTCTGGTCTGACAGCTGAGTCCCTACTTACTGTGATGTAATCAGAGGTGTGAGGAGTAAGGAGAATTGCCCACCATTTTGCCCGGCTGGGAATCGAACCCAGACCCTTTCGCTTGCCAGGCGAGTGCTCTAACCACTGGACTACGGGGAATACCACATCCTGATAAAGTAGAGCTCGGGGCTGGGGATGGGAGTGGGGGGAGTGTGGGGGGTCATACACAGAACGAGTTATGGGATGGAATTAATTCCAGTCTGTCGGATGCGTTGATTGCTGTTAAATGTATTGACCACCCCCACACCCACCTACATCTCAACCTTGGTCACTCCCCCCGCTCCCGTCTACCCTTCCCCCCCCTCCCCTCCCCTCCCCTCCCCTCCGTCCCGCCCTGTCCTGTCCCGTGTAGATGTGAGGGGTCACCCTCTCTGGTATCAGCACCAGGTCACAGCAATAACAATAATAATAGCCCTCGCAACTGATACAGCGCCTCATCACTTCTTCGAGACGTCTCAAAGCGCTTCACAGGATGTACAGTATTCCCGAAACTCTGGAACACTCAAACCCTCCCTCAATCCCTCCGCCTTGTCCCATTATTCAAAAGATCAGCTCATTCAGACACTTCAGCCCACATACTGATCCGGACCAAACTCCGTACCCACAGCTCCCCAGCTCTGGCCCGGGCTCCGCTGGTCCCCCATCACCCAAACGCATCGACTTCAAGATCCTCTCACTCTCGTGTTCAAATCCCTTCACTCTCTGGCACCTCCCTCCCTCCCTCCCTCCGGCCTCCTCACTCCCCAATCCACCACCCGGAACCTCCGCTCGACTGGCACCGGCTCCTGCTCATCCCTCGTATCCTCCGCCCCACCAGCGGAGATTGCCTTTCAGCCATTATGCCCCCGAAACTCTGGAACATTCTCCCTCAATCCCTTCGCCTTGTCCATCCCCACCCCTCTCCCCCTTTTCAAGTCCCGCCCGAAGACCTTCCTCTTCGACCGTGCTCCCCCCCCACCACCCCCCGGCTCAGAGTCAGGCTCCGCCACCGTTAAGCGCTCCGAGACTCTACCCCGCGTGGAGGGCGCTAAGTAAGTGCAAGTTGTTGTAGTTGTTGTAACTGTAAAGTTTAGTGACTGTGTATTTTTTTGTGGACGAAACAGGGCCGAGGGATCCCACACACACTGAGTGACCGAATTACAAGAAGAAGAAAATTACATTTATCGAGCGCCTTTCGCGTTGGGGGGGACGCCCCAAGTCACTGGCAGGGCAAGTTATTATGATTTATTTTTGGAAAAAGGGATTATTATTATTACCCCCTGGAAAAGCCATCCACCAATTGACTAACAACCAGCTTCCTACTCACTTCTGGTAAACAGAGGCGTGTGCGTGTGGAGTAAGGTATCTTAAGCCCAATGTTATGCCCTGCCCGGCTCCTTCGCTTGGCGAGGTGAGGGCTCTAACCACTGTGCTACGGGAGGTCAAGTCAAATCACGTCCCAGTTGGCATTATCGCTGCGTAATTCCCAACTTCCAGTATCCAGCTGATTCATCAATGACTCCCGGAATCCTGACCTGAAACACCCTTCCCGGTTTCCTCGGGGTAATCAAGTCATCAGCCCAGCTCGCACATGACTGTATTTGTCCTTTCACGTCAGGAGGACGTCCCAGGTCTGGTCTGACAGCTGAGTCCCTACTTACTGTGATGTAATCAGAGGTGTGAGGAATAAGGAGAATTGCCCAACATTTTGCCCGGCTGGGAATCGAACCCAGACCCTTTCCCTTGCCAGGCGACTGCTCTAACCACTGGACTACGGGGAATACCACATCCTGATAAAGTAGAGCTCGGGGCAGGGGATGGGAGTGGGGGGAGTGTGGGGGGTTATACACAGAACGAGTTATGGGCTGGAATTAATTCCAGTCTGTCGGATGCGTTCGTTGCTGTTAAATGTAGTGACTGTTGATTGTAAGGGGAAAGGGGCAGACGTTTTGCTCACGGCGGCGTCGCGCGCATCAATAACACGCTCACGCACACACTCGCGCGTCCACGCGCCCTCACGCTCGCACACGCGGATTCTCGCGCTCTTTCCACGTTGAAGCGTTTCAGAATTGCGGGGGTCCCCGGCACCCGACTGGACTGGTTCGGAGTCGCGTAGCTCTGTGACCCGTTGACTCCATACCGACCTGTCCGCGCTCCCTCAGCTCCGCGCGCTCCGGCCTGCTCCACGACTCTTCCTCCACTCCCACCCCTCTCCCATCGGTCCTTCAGCCTCTCTGCCCCCACCCCTTGGAATTCCATCCCAACTTCCCTCCGCCTCGCTCCCTCCCTCCCTCGTCTCCTTCAAGGTCCAACTCAAAACCCTTGTCACCTGTGCATCGCTCCCCCTCCCCAGTCTTGGTCGCTCTCCCTTTCTTATTTCTCTCTCTCTCTATCTGTGTGGAGTCCTGTAGCTCAGTGGTTAGAGCACTCGCTTTGCAAGCGAGACCTGAGTTCAATTCCCGGCAGAGGGCGAAACCTTGGGCAAGTTTCCTTACTCCACACAGAGCCTAATAATAATCCCTCCAAAACCAAAAACAATAATAAATTGGTCATTTTCAATCTACGACTGTTTGTGGGACATTGCTGTGCGCAATTGGCTGCCGCGTTCGCCCACAAATATACAGTCAATTCACTTTACAGTGTGTTCTGTGAAGCGCTTTGGGACGTCCTTCCGACGTGAAAAGCGCTATATCAAATGCGAGGATTATTATTATTATTATTATTATTATTATGTATCTGTCTCTCTCTCTCTCTCTCTCTTTCTCTCCCATTCTCTCTCCCTCTCCTTTTCCCGGCTTCGTCCTCGCTGCCTCCCTCTCCCGGTCTCACTCCAGGCTGAAGCCACGAAGAAGAAACCGCAAGGGAAACGGGGAACGGCCGACGGGGCAAAGAGAACCGAAATAATAATCTTCACCTTCGAACCATGTGCCTGGACAGAGGTCAAAACGCCCGAGGGAGCCTTGGACAATTAAGCGTCACATTTAGTGACTGTGTCTTGGCATGTGTGTGTGTGTGTGTCTGCTTGTCTGGGCTGGGAACATGCGTGTGCATGTTTTTCTGTGTTCTTCCTGCACATTTGCTTGCGTGGGCATGTGCGTGTCTGAGTCTCTGGGTGTCACCTCATCTCGTAACAATGAGAGGCAGATCTTAGCTGATTTCTCCCACATCAGGTGACCAGTAGTGAGTTGAGAGCAGAGAGTCAGAGAAGCCTAACTGCGTGTGTGTGTGTGTACGAGAGAGAGAGAGAGAGAGAGCGAGAGGAAGATTCCACCAAACTAACAAACCAGCAAAAATGCCGAGGAAACTGAACGAACAGGTAAGGAACTATCCCTCTCGATCTCTCACCACGGTTTAGAGTTTCTTTTTTTATTTTGCTGATCGGACTGACGTGGCGGCGTTCTCTGTTGTAGCGTCTGTGGGTTTGTGCTGTGGGTAGCGTCGCAGTTGATGCGGCGCCTTATCACGTTCGTCCACACCTCTCAAAGGGCCTCGAGAGAAATTACCCTGAGGTGCAGTGACTGTGTCTTTTGTAGGCGAAACCGTCTTGCGCATTAGCAACGTCCCCGCCAACGGCCAGAAAGCAAGGAACTGATTTTATCCGGGGATTGTCGGTCAGGTTATGGGAGAGAGAGAGAGAGAGAGCGAGAGCGAGAGAGATAGAGAGATACTCCATTCTCTTTTGGAATCGCGCCGCGGGATCTTAACGTCCGCCTGAACGGGGCACGGATGAGGAGGCTCGGTTTAGCATCTCATCCGAAGGACGGCGCCTCTTGACAATTCAGCGCTGCACTGGATTGCCGGCACGTCTTGTTCCCTTTAGCCGTGTGAGGATCTTGATCAGTTCTGTGATAAGGATCAAGTGGAGCCTGGCGAGGACTGATGTGATGGGGGTACGGAGTTTAGTGGGTGTGATAGGGGACCAGTGGAGCCTGGAGAGGACTGATGGAGGTACGGAGTTTGGAGCGGGTGGATACAGGTGACGGAGTTTTGAATGAGTTGGATTTTGGGGGCATAGAACCGGGGAGACCAGGGAGGAGGGCATTGGGATAGTCGAGTCGGGAGGTGATATAAGCGTGGACGAGGGTTGCATCTGTGTTGGGTGTAAGATACGGTCAATGTGGTGGAGGTGGAGGAAGGCGGCCCTGGTCGGGGACCGGATGGAGGAGAAAAAGGACAGCTTCGGATCGAACCTGTGGATCGAACCTGACGCCTCAGTTTCGTACAGGTTCAATAGGTCTGAGGGACAGGTTGAGTAGGTCAGAGCCACAGGAGAGAGGACATTGACAGCAGCCAAGGAGTATGACTTCTGTCTTGGACGACATGCGCTCATCCAGGCCTTGACGTCCGACAGACAAGCTGACAGAGCGTCCACTCCAGTGGATCTGGAGTCGCAGCTGGAGGAGGAGAGGTAGATTTATGTGTCATTCGCAAACATCTGGAAGTTTACCCCTTGTCTGGGGATGACATGGCCGAGAGGGAGCATGTAGCTGCGGAAGAGGTGGGGTCCAAGGATGGAGCACGGGGGTACACCATCGGTGATAACAACAACAACATTTACATACCGAGGGGGTAGCGCCCCAGAGCGCTTGATAGTGTGGAGGCGGGAGGAGAAACCTCGTGTTTCGTGCCTCTGTTTACCAGCAGTAACTAAGTGGAAACGCAGTTGTTTGTTAGTCGATTGACTTTCCGTGGATAATAATCCCTTCAAAAAAATAAAAGGAGTAATGTGTTCACTCGATCCACGGCTGTTGGTGGGTCACTGATGTGCGCAATTTGGCTGCTGCGTTTCACCCACACAATATGCAGTCAATTCACTTGACAGTGTATTCCGTGAAGCGATTTGAAGGCACTATATCAAATGCAAGGATTATTATTATTAACACTATTATTTAAAGCGTCTGCCTGTTTGGGTGGACGTTAATCCATTGCTGTTGCACAATTTCTGAGATTCCCGACATATGTCCTCACGCTGCTGGTGAGAAGGAAGGAACAGCGGTGGTAAACACGGAAGGATAGAGTCAGAGATTTGGGCGAAACCTTGGGCAAGTTTCCATACTCCACATGCTGCCTGATAATAATCCCTCAAGAATAATAAAGCAATAATAAATTGGTCGCTTCGATCCACGGCTGTTTGTGGGGACGCTGCTGTGCGCAATTGGCTGCCGCCTTTCGCCCACAAATATACCCAATCAATTCACCTTTACAGTGTATTCTGCGAAGCGCTTTCAGACGTCTCGACGTCTACATCAAATGGAGGGATCATTATTATTGTTATTATTTCTGCATTTGTCAGCCTTTAACTCTCACCACTCCCCGACCGCACCCAACACCAGTGAGATCGAATAGTCCTTCGCTTTCATATAATGTCACATAAACCATTCCCAGCCGGATCCTGATTAGCGTGGGAGTGAAACGGCCCGACACAAGCCCCAACGTAAATGAGCATTTTGCCTGCGGCGCAATGTTGGACGTTACGGGAGCTATACAAGTACAAGTTGTCGTTGTTGTGGCCAGCCAGCCAGAACACTGGGAGAAACTCCTGCTTCGTTTCGAACAGGGATCTCTACCAGGAAACAGACGGGTTATTTTTCAACCGGTGACTCTCCCAGTATGGTGTCACGCCCCAGCCTGCACTCATTGCCCTGAGGCACAAAGTCAACCTTTATTCGCAACCTATTGATTGTCAGGTGGACCCGGGTTTGATTCCCGGACGGAGCGAAACATTAGGCAGGTTTCCTTACCCCCCCCCCCCACACCCGCACAACACACGCTCACGCGCTTCTGTTTACCTGCGGCAAATAGAGACCCGGTTGTTAGTCCATCGTCGGATCGCTTTTAGGGGGTAACAATAATCTCTCCAGAAGAAATTATAATTTTGGTCACTCAATCCACCACTGTTTGTTGTGGGACACTGTTGTGCACAATTGGCCCACAATATACAGTCAATCCACTTTACAGTATATTGTGTGAAGTGCTTTGAGCCGCATTTATTTATTTATGTGTTTATTTATTGATTGATTGGTTAATCCTTGTACACCAACCACAGAAAGTCAGTGTCCAGGTACAGCAATCAGTTTGGAAGGCTAACGGCATGACAGCGTTTATTGCAAAGGGGGTCAGAGTACAAGAGGAGGGAAGTCTTACTGCAACTGCATAGGGCCTTGGTGAGACCGTACCTGGAATATTCTGTGCAGGTTTGGTCTCCTTATCTGAGAAATTCTAATAATTTATAAAATATAGTGTAAAAAAAAAGGACGCCTACTCCTATTTATTATGCTCTTATTGCCTTAATGATGTGATAAGGCGCTACATCAAAGGTGAGGGTAGTTATGGTTAATAATATTATTATTGCCCAGAGCCGAGGGTGTGGCTGAACCACGGGCTGACACACAGAGAGCTGCCTGTGTCTGCGTTAGAGTCTAAGTTTAGCAACACCAGGACTTAAACGAAACCCGGGCAGGATGCAGGGCTTGTGGTTAGGGAATGGGAACAAGGACAAGGGAACCGAAGAGACCACACAGCCTCTGTTTCCCTACGCCACGCACCTCTGCTTACCGAGCAGTACGTAGGAACCCGGTTGTCAGTCGATTGGTAACCATCCCTTCCAACACATTTCGGAAAAAAAAAACCCAATAGGAATAATGTGCTGACTCGATCCACCACTGCTCTGCGGGACACGGCTGTTGCACAATTGGCTGCCGCGCTTTGCCCACAAAATGTCCACTCGCTAACCTTTACGGCATATTCCGTTCCGTGAAGCGCTTCGAGGAGTCTGAAATGCGAGAACTGTAAAGCGAATCAGCAAATCAGTGGCCGGACTGCACTGTCAGAGCAAAAAACACGTTTGAAATTGGAAGCGTTTAATAATTAACGTGTAGTTTGTGTGATTACTGGGGAAGCGGGCGATGGTTAGTGTCAGATTACAAGAGCAGGTTAGACACCCTGTTCAACCTGTTCTGCTTTCCTACGTTACACGACTCAGTTTGGGGGTCATGTTGATTGTTCCTCAAGAGGGATGGGGGCTGGCGGTCACTTACACACCCACACACACACACACACACACACTCAACTCTCCCACACTCACCGCTCCCACATACACCAATACACACCTCTCCCATATACACACACACACACATACCTCTCTCTCCTCTCTCCCTACACATACAGGTAGTACACACACTTCACCCATACCTCTCCCACACACACACATACCTCTTCTAAATACTCGTACACACACACACACACACACACAGCTCTCCCACACAGACACACACACACACACATGGCATCTGTTGCTCTCCCAGTGGGGTGGCACCCTGGGTCTAGACAGGTGCTGGCGTCTCCAATGATAGATTTCACTGCGAATCTGGCTCCTCGCAAAGCCAAGTGTACCCGGTTCTGACTGGTAAGTGGCTTGGATTTGACTAGGAGCTGTGTTGTTAACACGGGGACCATCTGAGAACTACTCCTACATCCGTGGGGCTTCCCTTCTACACTTCCCCATCTGAACCCTGCAGCCCATTCCCTCCTCCCCCACATCTCACCCTCATTCAGTTCCTCATTTTTCTAAAGTTAGGCTCCAGTGAAGACATAGTCAGCTTTCTGTGTGTCTACCTGTGGCTCAATAATAATAATAATAATCCTTGCATTTGATATAGCGCCTTATCACGTCTTTGAGATGTATTGACCCACCTCATCCCAGCCGCCAATCCCCCCATCCCACCCGCTATTCTACCCGAACCCTCATTTCCTCCCCAGCCACCCATCCCATTCCCACGTAACGTTCCCTATCTGAGGCTGAGAGAGTAGAGTCCAAGGTGTGGTGTACAGTAAAACCAATCAGTGCACATTGTTCCCAATATTCTATATACTTCCTTCCTTCCTTCCTTCCTCCCTTCCTCCCTCCCTCCCACCCTCCTCGTCCCTCTCTATTCCTTATTCCCTCTCCCCCTGCACCCAGGTCAGGACTCTTTCCCTTCCTGGATTTCTCCGCTTCATTCCACAAATTTTTAGTGATTTCTTTTCCCGATCGTTTTGGAATCTTTTTTGTTACTTCTTCCTTCTTTCTACTGGAGGTAAAGATCCATCTCCTCTTCCAAACCCACTTGTGTTTGTTCCCCTGCTCTCCCCCCACCGCCCCCATCCACCCCAACCCGCGTCCATCCGTGCTGGTGCGCACTCCCCCACCGGAGCTCTCTGTTCGTGGTGAGAGCACTCGCCTCGCAAGCGAGAGGACCCGGGGTTCGATTCCCGGGGGCGGGGGGGGGGGGCGAAATGTTGGGCGAGTTTCCTTACTCCACACGTCTCTGTTCACCGAGCAGTAAGTAGGAACCCGGTTGTTAACCAATTGCTTTTCCGGGGGTTAATAATCCCTTGAAAAGCAAAGTAAGATTAAAAACATATCGACGAGTGTCTGTGGGACGCCGCTGTGCGCAATTGGCTGCTGCATTTTGCCCACAAAATATGCAATCAGTTCACTTTACAGTCTTTCCTGTGAAGCGCTTTGAGACGTCTCGAAGATGTGATAAGGCGCTGTATCGAATGCGAGGGTTATTATTATTAATTCAATTTCCTGCTCTCTCCCCATGGTGTCTGTGCTGGGACTCGGTCCCCCACTGGAGCTCTCTACTCTAACCCCATTCCCTGCTCTCTCCCTATCACAGCCATGTTAATGTCTACCGAGACGGGTGGCCATTTTGACGTTATAAAATGAACCGTTTGTTAGCTGTGAGGTTGAGTGGAATGTGTTGTCAGAGTAGGTGTTCGGCGTGAACACGCACTGGATACTCTTCGGGTGACAGGACTCGATGAACGGCTTTGCCTTTGGGTCCGTGGTGGAGGAGAGATAGAGAGCGAGAGAGAGAGAGGGAGAGAGAGGAAGAGTCTCACTGTCTTTCACCCCATGTTCTAGAAACTGCACGGCAGTGTATCGGAACAGGACTCCACTGAATATTGTACCTACGATCCTCCAAATTCAGCCATCCCGCTGAATCCAGGTAAGAAACTCGCTGCTCACTCCCCAACCCACTACCCTCCGCCTCCCCTCGACCGGCGCTTGTCTCCCGCTTGTCTCTCATGCCCTCCGTTCCACCATCGATGGCCGAGCTTCCAGACACTACCCCCCCGCCTCGACCCTTCCCTCCTTCCCTATCTTCAGATCGCACCTGAAGACCATTCCTCTTTGACCGCCCCCCCCCCCACCTCCCCTATTTCCCCCCCACACCCCGCGTGAATGAGTGGGTGGAGGGGGGGAGAGGGCGCTGTGTAAATGCAAGATGTTGTCGTTGTCGTTGGGGTCGGAAATTTCCACCGGGATTTGCACGCACCACCCCAACGCCTTTCCCCCCCACCCCCCCCAACCAACCACCACCACGTACGCCGTGCCCCCATCTCCTCGGCAAAATAATGCCCGGAATGGATGCAAAGGAGCTCTCGGCACAGTGTGCGGTGAACGGGTTAATCAGTCAGTCAGAGACGGGTTATCGGTTCTGGCGATCGCTGACTAACGTCACAGGTGGAGTTTAACTCTCGATTGTCACGTTGGTGGTTTACTCGTTGACCTCCAGAGATTGGCACCTGACGCTATCAGGAGGCCGGGGGGGTGGGGTGGGGGAGGGTGGCAAAGTGGGTGTGATTGGGTGGGGGTGGGGGGGGGAGCAGGGAGGGGGGGCAAGAGGGGAGGGGAGCAGGTCCAGAGACCGAGCTTGAGATGGAGCTGTGACTCTGAGCTGAGATATTGAAGCGAGCGACAGTCAGTGACCTGTCGGCTTTTGCCTCAGGGTTTCTGCCCGAGAGCATGAACAGGATGAAGATGACGAAGAGGAAGATAGTGATTACGACGCTCTTGGTCCTGACGGTGCTGGCCATCATCGGTATCTCCATCTACTTCGGTGAGTGTCAGCTCGTCCCCAGGCTTCACCCCACCCACCCACCCACCCACCCACCCACTCCTCCCTCCCATTGCCTTCCCCACCCTCTGTCCCCTTCTACCCTTCCCTGCACCCTCTGTCCCTCCACCCACCCTCTGGCGGGGCAGGGAGGCACTGCTTGGTCTGACATCCCACTCTCTCTCTCTCTCTCTCTCTCTGTCTCGCAGTGAAGGTACTCCTCGACACCAACTACTTTTTCTGCGTCAAGTCCTTCAAGTTCATCTCTCTGGAGGCGCAGTGCAATGGGGTCTCGGACTGCATGGACAGCGAGGACGAGATGAACTGCGTCATCAACATCACCTTCACCGGGGAGTTCCCAGGTAAACACAACGACAACAACAACAAATTACATCTGTCCAGCGACTTTCACACCAGGAGAAAGTCCCAAGGCGCTGGGATCTGCACCCGAGAGCCTGTGGTTGGGATCAGGAGGGGTGGAGGGCGGAGAGGGGGAATGAGGGTTGACCGAAGGCGCGGTCGAAGAGGAGGGTCTTGAGACGGGTCTTGAACTGGGCAAAGGAAGGGGGTGAAGCGGAGGGACTGCGGGATGGAGCTCCAGAAGGTGGGGGCCTGGTCCTGTGTCTTGGCCAACAGTCCCCCAAATAAAATTGGTTACTCACTCGCGATTGTGGGGGACGCTGCTCTGCGCTAAAGTACGTCCTGCGAAGCGTCTTGAGACGTCTCAACGGCGTGATGAGGCGCTGTGGGTCCAAAGCAATTCTTGTCGTCGTCGTAATAACGGTAATAATCCCTGCGTTTTTATACAAGCGCCTGATCACGTCTTCGAGACATCTCAAAGCGTTTCACAGGGTGTAGTGACTGTGTATTTTGCGCCAGCCAATTGCCCACAGCAGCGTCCCGAAAACAGTGGGGGAAATCGAGCGGCCCAAGTTATTATTTATTTGTTTTGGGGGAGGAGGAGGAGGACGACGACGATGATGACGATGATGCAGTGTGACATTTTCCTGCTGTGTCTTTCAGTGAGAATTTCCGGAGCGGACTCTATCTTGGAGGTGTATAACTCTGAGAGCCGGACCTGGAGGCCCGTGTGCTACAAGGACTGGGATGAGAAACTGGCTCAAGCCACTTGCAAACAACTGGGACATTCCAGGTAAGTCCCCACGCGGAGCCTTGTGGTCCGGTTTGATTCCCGGCCGGGCGGGCCGGACGGAACGACTGGCGAGTTTCCTTCCTCCGCGCGCCTCCGGTTACCTGGCGGCCAGCAGGAACCCGGTTGTCAGTCGACTGGTGGATCGCTTTTCCGGGAATAATAATCCCTTCAAGGATAACGATGACAATAACTCGGTCACGTCAATCCGCGACTGTTTGCGGGGACGCTGCCGGGCAAAACTGGCACAAAATACACAGTCGCTACACTTTACAGTGAAGCGCTTTGAGACGTCTCGAAGACGTGATAAGGCGCAATAATCGAATGCCAGGATTATTATTGTTGTTGTTGTTGTTGTCCCAGAGACTCGAGGAGAAATAACTGCGCAGAGAAAATTTTCTGCCAGGCTGCTGGCTCCATCTAGTGACTGTGGAAGCCTGTGGCCTCAAAGCACTTCACTGTAAAGTGGAGTGACTGTGCATATTGTGGGCGAAACGTAGCAGTTTGCTATCGCCACCCAGTGTCGGAACACGGTGCTGCAAGTACTTTGAGGCCGCTCGGTGTAGTGACTGTGCGCGGTTGAGCTCAGAAAGGAGCGATTTCTCACCACCGGCCGCGTAGTCCTCGAGGTCTATCCAGGAAGAGTGAGCAGAACCCTCAGCCGCGGTTACATCGTGACTAGTTATGGCTAATGGAGACCTGGAGCTCAGGGGTTAGAGCGCTCGCCTCGCAAGTGAGATCTGGGTTCGATTCCCGGGCAGAGGGAAAGGTTGGGCAAGTTTCCTTACCCACACGCCTCTGTTTACAGCAGTAAGTAGTTAGTCGATTGGCGGATCGCTTTTCTGGGGGTAATAATGTGTTCAAAAATCAAACAATAAGAAGAATAATTTGGTTACTTCCATCCACGGATGTTCGCGGGGACGCTGCTGAGCGCAATTGGCTGCTGCGTTTCGCCCACAAAATATACAGTCACTTCACTTTACAGTGTTATCCTGTGAAGCGCTTTCAGACCGTCTCGAAGACGTGATAAGGCGCTGTATCAAATGCCAGGATTATTATTATTATTATTTTTATTATGGCTCGTTACAGTTAGTAACCGCTGTGTTATTGCAGGCACCAGGAGTTGGTCAGCCGTCCGGTGCCAATGCTGTCGGTCTCTGTCTTCGCTATGATCGACATAAGCAAAGACTACGCCCAGAAGTCAATCCAGTCGATACTGAGGGACGGGTGCGTACAATCCTCCAACCCCCCCCATTTTGTCCCATTTCCCCATCTCCCATCACCCCATCTCCAACTCCCACTCCTCCCATTGCCTCCAATCCATCTCTCGCACACCCCTTCCCACCCCCTCCCCGCCCCCACTGTCCCCATCCCTCATTTTCCCCCATCCTCAGGAACGGGGAGAGGGGCAGGAATGGTGTGGGGGGGGGGGGGGGGGGAATGTGGCCAGAGGGGAAAGTGGGGGTTGGGAGGCGAAGGGATGCAGGGAGCGCTGGGAGATGGCCGAACAGCTTCGTTGTGTGCGGTGACTCTCTGGGGTTTCCTGAAATTCTGTATCTCTCTCTCTGTAGGTCCTGTTCTGACAAGAAGGTCGTATCCCTGGTTTGTGAACGTAAGTGTTTGATTGGCCCCCGAGGGAATGGCGGGGCAGCCTGGCTCACGGAGTAACAGAGAGGGGGACGTTTGGGGGGAAGGGGTTGTGGGGGATCAAACACAGGCAGCTGACCTCTGGCAGTGATGTGTCGTTCCCGAAGATTACTCTCAATTTTCACGTTGTTTTCCTGTAAAAGTCTATGGCTACACATACACACACACACAGACACACACACAGATACACACGCACACGGACACACACACACACGCGCACATAATCACGTAGACACAGACACACACACACGCACACAAAAAAAGGACTTTGACAAACTAAGGATGAATTTCTGGAGGTGGTGGGGGGTGGGAAGAGGGGGTGCGATGGGCTGAATTGATTGATGTTGATTGACCGATTTTCGCCCACAAAATATACCGTGGCTCCACTTTACAGTGTATTCCGTGAAGCGCTCTGAGACGCCTCAATGAGGGGCCGCAACAAATGTAGGGAATATTATTAATGAGGCTTTTCCCCGTGTCCCAGAGTGTGTCAGGAGTGGGGAGGAGCGGATTGTGGGTGGCAATGACGCGTACATCGATAACTGGCCCTGGCAGGTCAGCCTGAAATACAAGGACCAACATCTGTGCGGAGGAAGCATCTTAAACTCCCAGTGGATTGTCACAGCCAGTCACTGCTTCTCCAAGTAAGTCCCCCCCCCACCCCCCCCCCTCGCTCCCGCTCCTTCCCCCTGTACGATTCGCTTACACGTCCCTTTTTCCGGGGGGTAATAATTTCCTTCAAACCCAAATAATAATGATAATAATAATGGTCGTTCAATCCAAGATTGTTGTGGGCGATTGGCCGCCGGGTTCCGCCCACAAAATACGGAGCAACTGCACTTTGCAGTGTATTCCGTGAAGCGCTTTGAGGTGTCTTGAAGGCGTAAAAAAGCGTTCTGTCAATTGCGAGGATTATTATTGTATCATGTTCTCAAATACCTGACCCCGCAGTGCAGTAAAAGCCGACACAAATTCTTTCAATCAATCGATATTTATTCGTGCGAATTGGCAAGGTTAAGCAAGTTACAACCGGCTAATCAACTCAGCGTAAGGCTCAACATATATTCAGTACAATTCACGTCAAGCAAACGTGGCCAGACCGATGTCGTGGAGGAATATGATACAAACCAGTACTCAACCATAGTGGTATAACCATAATAATCCTCGCATTTGGTACAGCGCCTTATCACGTCTTCCACAAACAGTCGTGGGTTGAGTGACCAATTTATTATTATTATTCTTTTCTTATTACCCCCGGAAAAGCGATCCGCCGATCGACTAACAACCGGGTCCCTACTTATTGCCGGTAAACAGAGGCGCGCGGAGTGAGGAAACCTGCCCAACGTTTCGCCCTGCCCCGGGAATCGAACCCAGGTCCTCTCGCTTGTGAGGGACGAGCGCTCCAACCCCCGAGCTGCAGGACTCCACGAGCTTGTGTTACGGGGTTAGCCCGAGGCCAATTCCCTAGACGCGCGCGAGTGCACGCGCGTGACCGCAGCTCTCTGGCACCGAGGGGATTCACGGTAACCGTGTGACCGCAGGGAACACGACCAGATCCAGCTGTGGGAGGTCTACGTCGGAACCGAATATCTCAAGAGCGGCGGACGGACCTTCCGGGTCGGCAAAATAATCACCAACGGACAGTTCGACGACAACGACAACGATTATGACATCGCTCTGATCAAGCTGAAGTCTGCGCTGCCTTACACAGGTCAGCTCCTGTCCACAGCCCTTCCTCGGCACTGACTCGGAAAAAGTGCGGCAGGGAACGTGTATCCCGCTCGTCCCCCCGCGCCCTCCGCTCCACCATCGGAGGCCGCGCTTTCAGTCACTACGCCCCCGAAACCCAATCCCTCCTCCGCCTTTCCCCCCTTCCTGCCCCATCTTCAGGTCGAGCCTGAAGACCTTCCTCTTCGACTGTGCCTACGGTCACCTTCCCTATTCCCCCCACCCCCCCCCTCACTGGCTCAGCGTCGAGCTCCGCCACTGTTAAGCGCTCCGAGACTGTATCCTGAGTGAGGGGCACTGCGTTCTCGCAAGTTCTCGCTGTATTTTGTGGGTAAACAAAAGCAGCCAAAGGACCGCAGCCGATAGAGAAAGAAACTCCATTCTCATTTCAAATGGTGTCTTTAATGTCCACACACACGCACAGACACACACACACACATCTAGATACACACACACAGACACACATACACACACACAGCTTCGCTGAAATCCCGATCACAACACTAACGGCACTTGATATCCGATCTCTTCACCGCTCTCCAGGTCCGTCACTCTCTTGCCCCCCTCTCTCTCTCCGCAGAATACATCCGGCCGATTTGTTTACCGAACTACAACACACCGATTAGCCCCAACCAGGAGGCATGGATTACCGGCTGGGGCCACACCAAGCAATCCGGTAATGATCGCTCACGACAACTCCACGTTTACAGCTTGTCACAACGTCACGGCATTGTAGAGGAGCTTTACTGTGTCTCTAACCCTGACCTGGGAGTGTGGACGCACAGTGTAGAGGAGCTTTACTGTGTCTCTAACCCTGACCTGGGAGTGTGGACGCACAGTGTAGAGGAGCTTTACTGTGTCTCTAACCCTGACCTGGGAGTGTGGACGCACAGTGTAGAGGAGCTTTACTGTGTCTCTAACCCTGACCTGGGAGTGTGGACACACAGTCCAGAGGGAGCGTTACTGTGTCTCTAACCCTGACCTGGGAGTGTGGACACACAGTGTAGAGGAGCTTTACTGTGTCTCTAACCCTGACCTGGGAGTGTGGACACACAGTGTAGAGGGGCTTTACTGTGTCTCTAACCTGCGCTGTGGCTGACCTGGGGGAGTTTATTCTGAGCTGTTGTTCACACAGGGAAAGGGTCGGATGTGCTGCAGAAAGCCAGTGTTTTGGTGATTGACCGGATCACGTGTAACCAGAGGGAGGTGTATGCTGGGCAGATCACACCCCGCATGCTCTGCGCTGGCTTCTTGGAGGGCAAGGTGGACGCCTGTCAGGTACTGAGAATAACAGCCCATATTAATGATCCGCCTCGCTGGCCAGCAGCCATCCAGCTCCTTCATTCTCATGAGTCAGAAAAGACTTGGTTGGCCTCTCTTCACACAGGCTGTGTAGGGGCGAGGCAGGCGGGAAGAAGGGAGGGAGGTGAGGGGGCTGTAGAGTAAGACAAACATATTTTATAAACCAAATTCGGGGACACGTATAACACCACGCAAGCAAGAGGACCCGGGTTCGATCCCCGGGCAGGCAGGGTGAAACCTTTGGCAAGTTTCCTTACTCCACACACACGCCCCTGTTCACCGGCAGTGAGTAGGAACCTGGTTGTTAGTCGATTGACGAATTGCTTTGAGGGGGATATTAAACGCTCCAAAAAAATAATAATTTGGTCACTCAATCCACGGCTGTTTGCTGGACACTGTGCGTGTGCAATTGGCTGCCAGGTTTCGCCCACAAAGTATACAATCAATCCAATTTACAGTGTATTCTCTTTTGAGGCGTCTTGAAGACGTAATGGGGCGCGATATCGAATGCAAGGAATATTATTATGACAGCTATTCCAGTCCTGCACAGAGGGTATTCGAGTGTCGTTTTATTTAAAGTATGTTATTAAGTTGTTTCGGTTTAAGTTGTTGCTGACGTGCCCGTGTGCTTGTGTGTGTTTGTGTGTGTTGGCAGGGAGACAGCGGAGGTCCGTTATCTTACCACAGTGACATGTGGCGGCTACTGGGGGTGGTAAGCTGGGGGAGGGGCTGTGCTATCCCTAACCGCCCTGGGGTCTACGCCAACATCAGCTTCTTCCTCGACTGGATCTACCACGTCATGCAGGTGAGTGGGAGCCGGGAGCCATCAAGGGGAGGGGGAGGGGAGGGGGTTTGAAGTAGGAGGTAATAAGAACATAAGCATTTGCTGGCGAAAGAAGACCAAGGTCCATCCAGTTCGTGTTGCACAGTCCTGGCAGTCGCTTGACATGTCGTGTCCCAAGACTATATAGTGTATCCCCCAGATATTATTTTCCAGCAGAAATCCATCTCATTTGCTCTTGAAACAACAACACTTTCTGCTTCCACCGTCCATCTCCCTAGGGAGCCTGTTCCATAAGTTTTACTACTCGCTCACTGAAGTAGTGTCTCCACGGATTTGTCCTGAATTTACCCCCCAGTTTCAATCGCAGGCCGTGTCCTCTGGTTCTACGGTTCAGTACAAGATAAAACAACATAGAATAACTCACCCCCACCCCCACTGGGAGTGAGTCATCAGCCGGTATGGGTAAGGGGTAATGGGGGGAGGCTATACATAGAATAACCCACCACTCCAGGGAGCAAATTCCTAGCGGGATTCATAATTGGGGGGGGGGGTTCACGGATGGCCTGGGACAGATTGGGAGGGGCTGGGGAGTGCGGGCGTATTGAGTGGTTCAGGTTGGGCGCTGGTGCAGAATCTAAACATAGGCAAGGAATTACTGGCGTATTTCCCTGAGGTCTCACTGTACGTAATGGATCTTGGTAGTGAATACCCAGCTGGAGTATCCGGGATTAGGGGGGGGTTATATATAGACTAACTCCCCGCCTACCATTCCATGGGATTGAATAGCAGGAGGGATTGAATCCAGGTTGGGGGAGGGCGCGGAGGGGTAGTATTTGAGTCCTGTAGCTCAGAGGTTAGAGCACTCGCCTCGTAAGCGAGAGGACCCGGGTTCGATTCCCGGGCAGGGGCGAAATGTTGGGCGAGTTTCCTTACTCCACACGCCTCTGTTTACCCAGCAGTAAATTGGAACCTGGTTGTTAGTCGATTGGCGGATCGCTCCCCTCAAGAAAAAAAGAGTAATAACTTGTTCACTCAATCCATGACTGTTTGTGGGACGCTGCTGCGCGCAATTGGCTGCTGTGTTTTGTCCCCAAAGTATGCAGTCAATTCACTTCATAGTATATTCTGTGAAGGGCTTTGAGACGTCTCGAAGACGTGATAAGGCGCTGTATCAAATACAAGGATTATTATAATAATTATTATTATTACCTCCTGTGTTGTCAGTCGTAGAAGTGAGCAGGAGGCCACGGGACAAGATGGGATGGGATGAAGATGGTCACCGCGTTCTGGCGGATGTGTTGAAAGACGTCAACTTTGTGCACTTTATCCGCAAAAGTCCGGATCCGTCAGGCAGGGGCAGACGCCTTGTCTGTGCCTTGTGCCCGCTCTACCATCACCTGAGGGCGAGAGCGTGCAGCCAGGGGCTGCCTCTGTGCCACACTGACCCACACTGAACTCAACTCAACTGACCTCCACTCCATTTCAGCCGATGACTTTTCTGAGCGAATCAGGTCTGGTCAGTAAAGGAATTCATGCGAGCATCCACACGGAACACTTGCTGAGAATCCTTCTCCCGTGTCAGGACGTTCCCTTTCCCAGCAGTGAAATCTGCGACGTTTCTTGTAATAATTATCACGTGAAGAAAAGTGGGTTCTGAAACTTTCTGCGGCTTTCTCTCCAACTTGTCCCTCTCTGTGCCATTGTCTCCCTGGGTCTGTGTCCCCGACTGTGACTGTCTGGGTCTGTGCGTGTGTGTGTAACTGGGGCCAGGAAAGCTGTCAGTCCGTTACAGTCTCACGCTGTGGTCAGATATTTTGCTAAATTTGCACTGAATTTTTTTGCTAAGATATTGAATAAATTGTGTGTTTGATCCACTGTCAATGTTATCGAATGGGGGGGTTGGTGTGTGTGTGTGCGCGGGAGGGAGCAGGTGTGTGTGTGTGGGGGTAGGAAGGTTGATGTGGGGGGAGATGTGTGTGTGTGTGGTGCCGGTGTGTGTGTTGAGGGGGTGTAAGTGGGGTGTGTGTGTGTGGGTGTGTGCGCATGTGTGTGGGGTGTGTATAGAGGGTGGTTGGGGTGTGTGTAGGGGGATGGTGTTTGGTGGTGGGGGGGGTTACGGGTACGGTGGGGGGAGGGGGGCCAATGAAAGAGAACGCAGGAAGAACAGCGCACTGAAACCTGTGACATTTGCAAGTTTTATTTCAGTATAAAATATGATTATTGATGGTACACAGAGCAAATACTTGAAATTATTTTATTTCTTGCACTGACCGATGCTTCAAAAACATTTCTTTGAGGCGATTTCTGCGCGTTTGTGGGGCCTTCGAAGCTGCCACTAAAATGCCTAATCTACTACCGGCCGACAAAATTGCCTCCGAAAGTGCGTGTCCGTATCCGAAGCTATTTTCATTCCCTGGTGGGAATCTGGTTGAAGCAGCTCAGACTGTTAATTCGCTCTTCTCGTTACGGGGCAAGATTGGATTTTGGTGCTTTGTAAAGTGTCATATTTTTTTTAAAAAAAAGGTATTTGCAAATGCAAGTATTGCTTTCGACGATGGCATTCTCAATTTTACCTTAAAGCCACAGACGTTTTCGATGCAAGAAAGTGCAGCGATTATTTAATAGCCATCATCACCGACAAAATGTGGGTCCTCTTACTGAATTTTGCACTGACCGAATCTTGGTTGACTGCTACCTGGAGGTTGAGCTCCAGCTTGTAGATCCCGGGGACATCAATGACCAAGTCATCCTGTCGTAAGAGACAAATTGCCACTGAGAATTCAAACCTAAATAAACCCCGGCTGATATCTAAGAGGTTTTAAACTTTCCTAGATTAGTACGGATTCTGATATCGAGGGGCTACAGTTCCTTTCAGGTTTCTCAAACAGAATTTTAAAAGAAAACATTAACATTTAGGGATTTACCAGTCCCAATTGTAAGCCTGTGCTGCACCGAGATAAATACGATATTTTTCGATGGATTCCCTATCACACGGGAGGGTTGCAGACCTCGTCATCGTGTCAGGTTCCCGAGCATGGTTTAAATTAGCATCTCACATAGTGGAGTCCTGTAGGTTATTGGTTAGCGCACGAGTATTTGTGGGGACAATCCTGGGCGCAAATTGTCTGCCGTGTTTCGTCCACAAAATATACAGTCAATTGACTTACAGTGAAGCGCTCCCAGACGTGATGAGGGGCTCTATCAAAATGCAAACATTCTAAACAAATTCACAAGCAGCGCAGATGCTCACCTCCGACACACTGAGATCACACTCCACGATAGATGACAGTCGAGGTAGTTCCACTGATAACTGAAGGGCTCGTGGTTTCCCGCTTTCATCCTTAATGAGAGACATCTCATACTCTGGCGTTGCTAATTGATTGCCACCGCTATCTCGCTCCGTACTTGAAATCTCTTCAATGAGTCCTGGCTTCTTTGGCTGCGAAATGTCAGTCAACAACTGAATTGGATCGGGATTCTCTTTGCATTTGGTGTTTCCTACGCTCAGTCTGGTCAGCTGTTTGAGCAGTGAATCCACGCTTCCTGTCGCTATCCCCTCGCCACTCTGGGTGGCAGCAGAAATTCCTGTTAATCTCTCCTTCATTTTCTGAATGCTTCCTTTGAGCGTAGCTGGCAGTGTGGTGTAAGAGTAAGACAAGCGCACACGAAACTGCTCTTCGATGTATTTTATTGCCAGAAGCACCAGTTGGTCCATTTCCGCAGGGTCCTTGCTGCCTCTCTTTAGGACATCTGGGTTGTAGGCAATGTCTGTGACAGAGTAAATGTCTGTTGAGGAAAAATAAAACGATAACAAGTCAAACTAATAGAAGGAATCTCTGTGCAGTGTTTGTCACGTTCCTGGTCTCTGCACTGCACCTTCTCATGGATCACAAACTCCGCTACACTCTGACTCTGCAAAGTGCACTGCACCCAGGAAGCCTGTCGGGCAGTTGTGACTACTCTTGCGAGTGTTACTAACATTAGAAACACACATGGGAGTGGGTGACATCCACGGTGACCAGGAAGTGGGAACAGGAAGGTTTATGTTCATGGACCTGGGGTCTATTTTGATAGATCTGAACCCACCAACAACTTGCATTTATATAGCGCCCCTCACGAAGCGACCCAGAGCGCTTCACAGTGGCATTGTGCGCCGCTGAGCCGGGGGGGGAGGGGTAGTGTCTGCAGGCACGGTTGAATAGGAAGGTCTTCAAGCGCGACCTGAAGATGGGGAAGGAAGGGGAAAGGTGGAGGGGTAGAGTAAGAATTTTCCAGAGTTTTGGGGTATAGTGGCTGAAACCACGCGTTATAACGTTGCCCCACTCTAATGTGGTCAACAGTGAGCACTTCAAATCAAATCAATTCCGTTCATGTCGACACCCAATCCCGTGGTCTACCTATAAACTGGCACTGAAATTTCTGTATGAGCTGAGGTGGTTTCCTTTAGTGTAATGCTGCCTAAAGCACAAAGAAAGGTTCTGAAATTTTTGAGGATAAAAAAAAAGACAGATTTGATTAGTTTTCCTGAGTGCGATAGGAACTTAATGCTGTAAAGAAGAAATTGTGATGGGCAATTCAAGGACACACAGGAGAAAGCATTTTCTTTGCAGAGAAAATCAGGGTGGGATAGGTTTCCAGAGAGATGTTTCAGGCCAGGCTACTTGAATCATTTAAGAAATGTCTTGATGCTAATATGAGAACGCTAGGGTTATTATTTCTTGAAAGGTGATATAAAATGCGTTGAAGGAACTTATGCATTCAAAGCTCTCTCCTGAACAATATGAAAACCCAGAACCAGTCTATTTTTATTGAGTGGGTTTGTGCATGAGATGGATCTTTCAACGAGACATCACAGCCTCAATAGCTAGAGACTCATGAGCCGAGATTCTGACAATTCTTTTAAGCAGAGCTGGGCTGGAATTTCATTCCTTTAATGTTTTACGCCATCATACTTTCTGAAGCTTCCGAGAGATCATTAATTCATCCATGTGGATACTCCCCACAACTGTGAGTAATCCACTGCTCTGAACTTTGCTGTTCGTATAGAAATTCCATATGAAACACCATGCTCTAATTGACAAACTAGAGTCACGTGGAAACCATTTGCAGTAAATTACAAGAAGTTTTGCCCTGTCAAAGTCACAGCCACGAAGTATCATATTCCTGGTAAATATGGCACACCAACATATTGATTGATAATTAGAGACTGTACGTTTTATCACTACCTACCCGTGCCCTCTACTATTTCCTCCAACTTCCCTCCACCGAGAGGGATGGGATTGCAGTCAGACTCTGGTGCCGGAATCCTGGTCCATTTGCAAAGGTTCACATAGAGCAATTTCTCGTGAGGTTCCTGAGAAATATAAATTAAATCTTGTATGACACCCTTTAATATTTCCTTCTCCTCAAGTCTCTATCCCTATTTCCTCCCCTCTTTTTGTTCGAATTCAAGATCCTCATCCTCGCCTCTAAATCCCTCCATGGCCTCGCCCGACCCTACCTCTGCGATGTACTGCAACATTACCGCCTTGGTAACTTCCTCCACTCAGTGATCACTGGTCTGCTTCACGTCCAAGCCCATTCTCTATCTCCTCCTCCTCCTCCCTCAGCTCCCCCCACTTCTAGCTCACCGATGTGAAAGGTACAATTCCAATCTAATTTCTTGTGGTTTTAAGACTAACCATTGCCTCAAAATGCAATTTGCAGCAGCAGAGAATCCCACATTCTAACCCGTCACGGTGTGAGTAAAGAGATGTTTTCTAACACTTCCCTTTATTTCCTTTTTTGTGATTATCTTAAAACTTGTGTTCTCTTGTTGGGAGGCAGAGCTAACTCTTCTGTCGTACATTAAATGTCCTCGACCAATCTTTGCCTCATCTTCCCATGTTAATTCTGCTTAAAGCAACGGTTTACAGAAATGTACACAAATTGGCGGGGTCAGACTCCGCCACTATTAAGCGCTCCGCGACACTACCCGGCACGAAGGGGGCTGTATAAATGCAAGTTGCTGTTATTGATCAGACACCCGGCTGACCCCAAATAAGTAAAGCTATAAAGATTGCCCCAGCGAAGTTAAGAGACGCCGTACTAATATTCTTGTCAGGAAGCAGGTGTGGGGATCCGGGGGAGTGAACTGCTTGATACCCTCCTGAAGTTGGTGTTGGATGAACTTCTGGTAGACTTCAGGGCTGTCTTCGGACAAACCATCCAACAGGTCCCACAGCTGGTTCGCCTGCTGAAGCATCGCGTTCCCCGAGGGCTTTGTTTCCATGGTCGCTATCGGTTTCAAACATCGGAGCCTTTTTTCAACATTCAGCTATTTTGTGACCTGCACAGAGAGAGAGAGAGAGAGAGAGAAAGCCACACACACGATTAAGACAGTAATTTCTGCAGAAGTCAGGAATGACTTAGTGGAGTCCTGTAGCTCAGTGGTTATAGCGCTCGCCTCGCAAGCGGGATTGTTTCACTAAATAAAATTTAATTAACCATTGGGCAAGTTTCCTCACTCGGCTTGTCTACCAGCAGCAGGTCGGAGCCCGCTCGGCAGTCGATTGAGGGATCGCTTTTCCGAGGGGCATAAAAATCCCTCCCAAGTAATAAATAATAATAAATCACGTGGTCACTTCAAAACACGGCTGTTTGTGTGTGTGTGTGTGGGGGGGTGGGGGTGGGGGGGGGGCGGCCGGATGGGGGTTGGGGGGGGAGGTGTGTGAACGTCGCTACCGTGAGCAAACGGCTGCCGCATTTCGTCCACAGGACGCACAGTCACCACACTTGACCGTCTCGCCTGCGAAGCGCTGTGAGGCGTCTCGAAGACGCGACGATAAGGCGCCGGGTCAAACGGCATTATTATTATTATTATTGATTAATTAATAACAACAGCCTGTTTCACGCCCCCCACCCCCTCCGCCTCCACCCCCAACCCCCGCCTCCACCCCCAACCCCAACCCCGACCTCCACCCCCAACCCCCGCCTCCACCCCCAACCCCAACCCCGACCTCCACCCCAACCCCCGCCTACACCCCCAACCCCCCGCCGTCGGAGGAGAAAACCGCCACGAACCTCAGGGCGGGTCCCAGTCCGCCGTCGATTCGACCCGTCGCCATGGCCACCGCGGCCCCCGGAAGTGCCCGTCGCCATGGCCACCGCAGCCCCAGGCATGTCCGTCGGCCAATTCCTTCCCCCCTTTCACCCTCCTCACACCCACCCACCCCCCCCCCACACACACACACACACAAACACACCCCCACCCACTCACCACACACCCACACACAACACCCCCACCCCCCCCCACAACTACACACCCACACACTTACACACACACACATGAAGGAAGAGGTGGGGGTCGGGGGTGAGATCTCCTCACAGCAGCTTTCAGGCCGGAACCCAAGTGCGGGGCCGCTGTTCCGCTCCGTGGCGCCGGGAAGCCTTTCGGGGGGGGACCGGCGGGAGACTTCCGGCCCCGCGAGGGCGGTCCGTCAGCGGCGGCGACACAGAGACCGAGACCGAGCAGCAGGTAACAGGCGCTCGTTACCTCCTCATTGGCCCCACAACCCCCCAACCACACCCCCACACACAGCGCCCCCACCCCCCAACCACCCCCACACACAGCCCCCCCCACCCCCCCAACCACACCCCCACAACCCCCCCAACCACACCCCCACACACAGCGCCCCCACCCCCCCAACCACCCCCACACACAGCCCCCCCACCCCCCCCAACCACACCCCCACAACCCCCCAACCACACCCCCACACACAGCGCCCCCACCCCCCCAACCACACACCCACACACAGCCCCACACCAGCCCCCAACCACACCCCCACAACCCCCCCAACCACACCCCCACACACAGCCCCCCCACCCCCCCAACCACACCCACACACACAGCGCCCCCACCCCCCCCAACCACACCCACACACACAGCGCCCCCACCCCCCCCAACCACACCCACACAACCCCCCCAACCACACCCCCACACACAGCCCCCCCACCCCCCCAACCACACCCCCACACACAGCGCCCCCACCCCCCCAACCACACCCCCACACACAGCCCCCCACCCCCCAACCACACCCCCACACACAGCCCCCCCACCCCCCCCACCACACCCCCACACACAGCCCCCCCACCCCCCCCAACCACACCCCCACACACAGCCCCCACCCCCCCCACCACACCCCCACACACAGCCCCCCACCCCCCCAACCACACCCCCAACAACACCCCCACACACAGCACTCCCACCCCCCAACCACACATCCACACATCCCACACAACACCCCCACCCCTTCCCACCACACCCACACATACAACAACACCCCCACCCCCCCCCCCTCTAACCGCACACCCACACGCAAGAGCGTCCCCTGGAGGGCGCAGTTGTTGTCATCGCGTCTTCCAAGACGGCTCAAAGCGCTTCACAGAATATACTGTAAAGTGTGTAGTGACTGCGTATTTCGTGGGCGAAACGTGACAGCCAATTGCGCACAGCGGTGCCCCCACACACCCACACACCCACACAACACCACCTCCACCCTCCCTAACCACACACCCACACACACACAACACCCCCCCCCCCCGACCACACAGTTGTGTACAGAGTGACCCAATACTGATGATGATATCATTGCACACGCGTCGTGTATAACAATATCACTCATTATCACCGACGATAATATTATTGATGGTAATTCCGCCACTCGATACGGGGCCTTTATCGCATCCCATCGCATCGCAGCCCATCGTCGAACCAACTCAAATCACTTTGCAGGACATCGTTGTAAAAGCGCAGCGACCGTGTGTTGTGTTGTGTGGGCGAACGCCCACAGCCAATTCGCACAAACTCTTTTTCTCCCTTCCCTTTTTGAGTAGCGCCCCGGGGCCCGAACACGTACAGACGGTTTAACTTAATCCGGACGTTAAGAGGAATTGTAGCGTCCTACAGTTGCGGTTTCCCCCGGTTTAGATGCGTGGGCCGGCAATCGAATTCGGGGGACCTTTCGCACCTGCGCGGCTCAGTTGCTCACTGGGAAAACTGCCCGAGCTTTTGAGGCCTTGCTGACACGGTGAGGAGGGTTGCTATGAGTTATAGTCTGATAGCAGAAATATAAAGATGGGGGTAACTGGTAGTCTGAAGAATCTCATCCCAGGAGTTACAATTGAAGAAGCATCAGGAAGAAATGAAGTGCCAATAGAGTATGTTTACTCCTGCCCAGCATCCCTTTGCCTCACCTCCTTCAAGAACTGTCTCAAGACTTTCCTCTTTGACCATGGCTTTTGATACAGCGCCTTATCACGTTTTCGAGACGTCTCAAAGCGCTTCACAGAATATACTGTAAAGTGAATCGACTATATATTTTGTGGGCAAAACGCAGCAGCCGATTGCGCACAGCAGCGTCCCCACAAACAGTCGTGGATTGAGTGACCAAATGATTATTATCTTAAAAAAATTTTTTGAAGGGATTATTACCCTCGGAAAACCAATCCGCCAATCGACTAACAACCAGGTTCTTAATTACTGTCAGGTAAACAGAGGCGTGTGGAGCAAGGAAATTTACATTTCTCCCTGCCAGGAATCGAACCAGGGTCCTCTCTTGCGAGGCGAGTGCTCGAACCACTACTCCACAGGACTCCCACGTCTTGCCATCTTTATTGGCGAAACAAAGCACCTCGAGGCTGCGTGTGAAGTCTGTACTTGTGTTTCTTTCGAAATCAGTCCGGTGACTTATGTGGTACATTGCAGAGATGCGTTTCTGTTCTTTTGCTGAAGTTCACCTTGAGGTTTCCAGCCTAGGCTAACGTTGCTTTTCTTGCTTTCAATTCGTAGGGTGTCTGCGATGGCTCGAATTATCATGGGGAAACTTTTGCTGAGGAATGTGATCCGCCACAGAGACGCCCACAATAAGGTAAAACGGTAAATATTCAATCTTTAACCTCCGAGCTGTGCTACTGCTAAATCCTGGGTGTCTCAGCTCTGAGATGAAAAACACATCTGAGCATTTCACTCCGCGTAAGCCTCATTAAAGTCGATCCTTATTTTGAGGGGGCGCGGTGGGGGCGGGGAAGGGAGGGAATGGAATCTTTTTTCTCTGTCAAATAATGAGAGAAAATCATTTGGGGAAATGTAACAGAAATATGGCTGGTGCTTATGAACTAAGATTGTTGAAATGCCCTCTAAAGCACCTCTCTCTACGCTGCCTTACCCCAGACCCACTTTCCATGTGTTCGTCACCTCCCGCCACGCCAGTCTCCCCAGCTGCATCAACCTCAAGATCCAACTGATCCAAAACTTGGTCCCCCGCATACTCACCCGTACTAAACTCTGTCCCATCACACCAGTTCTTGCCAAGCTCCACTGGCTCCCTATTGCTGAATGGATCGATTACATGATCATCACGAGGATGTACCCCGGCTGCTCCCTACCTCTCCGACCTCCAACCCACAACCTGCTGCCTCCGGTCGACTAACTCTGGCCTTCTGCACGTGCTTCATGCTGCTCTTTCAGCCACTACGCCATGCGTGAGGGGCACAATATAAATGCAAGTTGCTGTTGTTTAGATGGAGGACGTTTCAAAAGATTGCATCATTTTAGTTCCTGAACATCAGCCACAATTCTGTTCTCCAGATTTTATCAACTGCAATGAAACAAGTGTACCCGAGTCAGCTATATTATGCTCACGGCAACTGAAGCATTTCCAGAATACTGATGCTCATAAAATAATATGGTTTAATACTATCCAGTGACAGTTTTTGTTAAGCAAATGGATATTACTTTGTGATAAATCTGCAGCGATCATCAATTCTTTGGCATGGGAGATGTAGAGTTTTAGACTTGGAGTTTGTGATCTTTCAACAACAAATTACATTTGTATAGCGGCTTTCACGTTGGGAGGACGTTCCCTGGTACTGGACTTTGGACCCGAGCTGGGGGTTGGGATCAGTAGGGGTGGAGAGCAGGGAGGGTGGGGGTAGGAGGGTGACCGAAGGTGGTTCGAAAAGGAGGGTCTTGACCCGCTTCTTGAAGGAGGCAAGGGAGGGTGAGAGGCAAAGGGGCTGCGGGATGGTGGGATAGGCAGGGCGGAGGACATGGAGCGGGCTGGAGCATGTTGAGCTCAGTGTTACGGATGGCTAAACTCTTTTTTTGTTGTGGTTCCAGATTCAGGAAGAGTCCGAAATGTGGAAAATCCGAGAAAAAGAGAAACAAATAAACGATGAAGGAGGTTTTCAGCAGAAGAGGAGAAAATCTGTTGAGGGTTTGCCAGGGTAAGTCCGTCCTCGCACACACAAAACACTTAAGGGAACAAACTGAAGTGAAAGGCAATCCTACTCTTGAGTGTCAGTTCCATCCGTTCGGCCACCCTTCACCCTCCATTGCCTCCCCCTCCAAATCTTTGACTGTTCTGCGCCTTGGAACGTCCTCCCGACGTGAAAGGTGCTTCACAAATGCCATTTTGTATTGTATTGTATAAACAGAGCTGCTTCCGGACTCTATTACAATCCTAGCTTCTCAGCAAAGCTAATAGCACTCGCATCACTCCACACAGCAAGAGATTTTGACAGTTTTATCTACATCCCCAAAGCAGTTATGACTGATATAAATTCCCACAGATGTGCACAGTGTGCTAAGTAGTGGTAACAACTCTAAGGTCACGGCAGTTTCATTATAACGATTCATATAACATAACTTGGACCAATAGAAAATTTTGCAGAAAATTGTGGGGAGTTGATTGGTGCTATTGAGAGGCAGATTTTTCTGCCAACCTGCATTTTTTTCACTTTATTGATAAACTAAACATGGAGAAATAACACATATCAGATTGTTGCAAGAAAAAAATTCTTTACGCTTTGTTTAACAAATCCGGGTGGCCCACTCCATGACTGTTTGTGGGACGCTGCTGTGGGCAATTGGCTGCTGCGTTATGCCTCCAAAATACGCAGTCAATTCACTTTACAGTAAATCCCGTGAAGCGCTTTGAGACGTCTCAACGACGTGTTAAGGCGCTGTGTCAAATGCGAGGATGATTGTTATTATCGTTATTATGATGTTCCAGCGGCAGGATGCGGTGTGACGGGTACAGTGCAGAGGAAGCTGAGAGAAGGGTGGATGCGGCACTGATGTCTCTGGAGGACGAACGTGAAAGCAGATACTGGACGAAGAAACTCTACGATTTTGAGGCGAATGATCCGAACAGGTGCGATCCTCGTGAATTCAATTTACTTCCCCTTAAAAGGGACGGCGTCGCCTCCTCGATTCCCTACAAAACTCTCCCGTAGGATATCCTTACAGTATATCCTGCCAAATACTTTGGGCTGTCGTCTTATAACATCACAGAAACACGCTGACCTACAGCCCCCCCTTCCCCCCCACCCCCCCAAGCCTGAGTCGCCCCATTGTAAGTTTACTGTTTCTTCTCTGGAGCGTAAAGAATGGGTAAAAGAAAAATGTGACTGCCATATATATCAGACAACCAACACAGGCCAACTCGCAGATAAAATGGATCGAGACGCCATTATTCTTTCACAGTTGGCTCCTGTGAATCGGCGATCAATGTTTCCCAGACGTTTTTAAGGATTAAGTGCAATTTTTTTTTTTTTTTTCTGATTGATCGACTTCTTTTTGTGTGCACAATTGATCTCTGCGAAAGCATACCGTGCCAAAGAGACTGTGTGTTCCCTTTATTTAAACTCACTTAGGGCCAGGCTGTAGATACTGTCAAACCACTCTCTGCTAAACTGTTTCGTTACTGTTAATTGTTTCTGTCCAGCAAACGTTTATTGACTGCAAACTGGCTGGGACTCCAAAAGTTGGACAGGCTTAACTACTTTCAAACCTGGTGCCACGATGCCCAACTGCCCATCACTGATGTTAGATTATAATCATCACAATCCTTGCATTTGATACAGAGCCCTATCGCGACTTCGAGACGTCTCAAAGCGCTTCCCAGAATATACTGTAAAGTGAATTGACTATATGTTTTGTGGGCGAAATCTTTCATTGTGTCGGATTTATCCGGATTTCCCCATAGAGAGAGAGAGCTGTGAGTTTACTATCTCAGCCCGGCTGCTGGCGGCGAGTGAGAAGCGGTAGGATTTTACCTCTCAGGGAGGAGGGGAGATCCCGAGGGAGGTTCGAGCCAGATTGGGCCACTGCTGTGGCTGGTACAGAGTAGTCGCCTCCACAGGGCAGAGGTCACCAACCCGCTGCGCTGGGGTGTAAAATAAACCCTTCAAAAAAANTCATATTAATAATAATTTGGTCACAACTCAATCCACGACTGTTTGTGGGACACTGCTGTGGGCAATTGGCCGATGCGTTTCGTTTCTCCCACAAAATATACAGAATATGCAGTTGATTCACTTTACTGTGAAGCGCTTTGAGACATCGCGAAGACGTGATAAGGCGCTGTGTCAAATAGAAGGATTATTATTATTATAAAGCACCCACGTGCTGTTAAAGGGGGACAAGCAAATCCTTAGCACAGCCACAATTAGGAGCTACGCGTGAGGAAATGTGGCTGTGATTTCTGCAGTATGTTAGGACACAAGCAGGCGAAGCTCTATTGGAGGCCGATTTATCCTTTCGTTAATATAAATGTACCCCGTAAGATAATTGGCAAAAGAACCAGAAGGGTAGTGAGGAGACTTTTTTTAGAGCGCGGGTTAGAGCGCGGGAGTGTGATTGATTGGGTAGCTCTTCCAAAGAGCTGGCGTAGTCACGATGGGCCGAATGGCCTCCTTCTCTGCTGTAATATTCTACCCGTAAATGTTAAGCGGGAACAACAGTCTCCCCGTTGAAAATCTTATCAAAGCTGTGACTAATTCTCTTTATTCAGATGGGGACACAGTGGATACAAGGAGCTTTACCCAGAAGAGTTTCAATCAGATGGGTAAGTGATCCATAGCTTGTTTCTCCTAACTGTCGTGATACATCAGTTGCCATTGTGTATATGGTGCCCACAAAGTTCCCCCCTGTTCACAATAGCGATACTGGACTGCGGAGGAGCTGAAACAAGCTGTCAGAGAAGCACTTCGCCTCCTCACTCCATCCATATTATGAAAGGTGTGGCACTGAACATTGAGAAGGATTATTATCTGCCATGGGAATGATGACGCTCACACCCCCACACATGCACCATACATACACACATACACATACTTTTACACACACACTTACGCACACACACCCTTACACATACACCACAACACAGCTTTACACACACACACACACCACTCACACCTTTACACACACACACTGCATGTCTAAATACAGTTAAACACTTGTACTGAATACAATGAAGTACAAGTCGAAGAGGGGGGTCTTGAGACTTGCCTTGAAGGAGGCTAGAGAGGGAGTGAGGAGAAAGGATTGTGGGATGGAGTTCCAAAGGGTGGGGGCGGAGAGGCTGAAGGCCCGTCCACTGTGGTAAATTAAGTCCAATTTCAGTAGAAATCGTGGGTGAATAAAATAGTCTCCAACAGCTGGTGAAAGTAGATCTTCGTGTATGAACCGATATTTTCTTGTTCGTTTTCAGCGCCCAGCAAGGCAGCAGCCAGGAGAACTCTACCAAACACTCTGGCATCTCTTCCTCCAAAGGGAACTCTCGAAAACGCAAGCGTTCGAGCAAATCCGGCAAAAAGAAGCGCAAGAAGAAATCCCACAAAAAGGTGCGGAGGAAGAGGAGAGCGGGAAGCAGCGAGTCGTCGAGCGAGACGGACAGTTCCGAGGAGGAGGAGGAGGAGGAATGGGGTAAGGCAGAGAAGGATGTTAACAGTCGGGGGAAGAAAAGGGCAAAGAGGAAACACCGCAAAAAGACTTCGAAGAAGCCCAAGAAAAAGCAGTCGCCCTCCTCTACCTCGGCCTCCGAAAACGACTCTTCTGACAGCAGCGATTGCGACACTAGCAGCAAAGATGAGAGCGACTGCAGGGACGATGGGGAGAAGGGGAGGGAGAGAAGGAGGCAGAGGAGGATGAGGAGAAGGAGGAAGAAAGATTCTCGAAATCCACCAAACGAAGCTGTGGTCAGAGAAGAGGGGCACGAGAGGAAAAAGAGAAAGGACTGGAAAGCGGCCGATGACGTGACTTCCGACGAGAGCGGGGAGGACGACTTGAATTAGAGGCATGTCTTGAGGTTCATGTCCTTCTCAAACCTGCTGAGCTCATGTCCCGCTGAGTGAGCTTCCCCCCCCCCCTCCCCCCACCACCCCAGTCAGGCCAGGGACCGAGTGCATCATTTGGTGACCTGGCCATGTCCCAGTACGATTTGGGGCAAGTTATATGGTCAAAGGTCACTGTAAATTATGTTGTCTTGCGATGGCGAAGAGGAGTTTTTTTTGGAGCTAACTTTCACTTGGATCGCGAGTCTTAACGATGCTCCATCGAGGTGGGTGTTACCCCCCTATGCACTACTGTACTGTATTGTAACTCAAAGGCTATCTGTGTCTCAGCCTCAACCTGTCCTCCTGCCTCTCAGTTTTGTGACTGGCTTCTTTGTATTGGACTTGAAGCTCGTCACATTCTTTGGTTGGAGATTTGCCCTTCACCCCCTCCCACCCGACGTTGATGATAAGGAAGCAGTAGTCACCATCCCAAGTTGAGTCCAATTTGAGTCAAAAGGTAATGGAGACGGCAAGGTGGGTGTTTGTAGGGTGGGATTGGGGTGAATTGGAGGGTTGGGTTGGAAGGATTGTTGCATTATTTTTATTCGTCGGTTTTGTTACTCAAACCTTGAAGCAGGTTTTCTGGTTTTTTTTTTGTTTGTTTATTTGTTTTTGCCCGAAAAGGAGAGATTTCACATCACGCCCTTTTCCCAATGAGCCCACTCGAAACTTCACAAGGAAATGCAACAGTTTTCAAGGAAGGGAACCTCAAAGAGGAAAGGTGATACGAACGGGGGAAAGGAGAAAGGAGACGATGGACGATTTAAAAGAATTATTAAAAATAAAATCGACTTATAATCACGAGAAAATGACACTTGGATGTTTCAAAAAAAAACACAGATGCCATTCCTTACGAAGGCAGAAGATGTTTTGATGCAACGAAAGGCAATGCAGTGTTAAAGGCAAGCGAAATCAACACCTTTCTGCTTTGGCGGAGTGAATTACAGTGAATAATAATAATAATAATAATCCTTGCATTTGATATCGAGCCTTATCATGACTTCGGAACACCTCAAAGCGCTTCATAGAATATATCTTAAAGCGGATTGACTGTCTATTTTGTGGGCGAAACGCGGCAGCCAATTATGTACAGCGGCGTCTCCCACAAACAGTCTTGGATTGGAGTGACCAATTTATTAATGTTACAATCACAGCGCTTATTTATAAAGGAAAGTTGAACCTTTGTGGAAAGCCGTTCACAGCTTTGAGTAAACAAGTCTATGCTTTAACAGCAAATGCACAGAGATCGCTGCGTAGCTGTTTACAAGGTGAGGTGGATGTGTCCTCAATATTCTCTGCAATATTCTTGCTGGTGTTGCCTTTCCCCATGTTGCTAAGTGACGATAGCTTTTTAAAATCAAGTTTTGTATATACTGTATCCTTCAAGGTATTAAAATGACATTTTTTGGGGGGCTCAATAAATATTTTAACGACTTACTTTTTTTTCCACCCTTCACTGGCGGTCGTTCGTACGTCACGGCTGGCGGCTAACATCAAAACCATTAAATAGTCCTTTCTTTTGATATGGCGCCTTATCAGGTCTCCGAGACCTCTCAAAGCGCTCCACTGAATACACTTGTGAAGCGAATTGACTATATTTTGTGGGCTGAAATGCGGGAGCCCAGGGAAGCCATAATCCCTCAAGAATAAAAAAAAATTACAAATTGATCATTTCGAGCCGCGACGGTTTGCGGGACGCCGCCGAAATATTTTCCCAAGTATTTTATCGCACGTTCCGTATTGATAAAATATTATGCTCGTCAGCTCTGGGATCCAGAATCAGCCCTGGAGTACTATTCAATGCCAGCTGGTGTCACTGCTAACATGGACTCCGGCAATTCAGGTCTTAATAACAACAATAATCCTTGCATTCGACATAGCGCCTTATAATAATAATAATAATAATAATAATCCTTGCATTTGATATAGTGCTTTTCACGTCGGGAGGACGTCCCAAAGCGCTTCACAGAACACACTGTAAAGTGAATTGACTGTATATTTGTGGGCGAACGCGGCAGCCAATTGCGCACAGCAATGTCCCACAAACAGTCGTAGATTGAAAATGACCAATTTATTATTGTTTTTTTTTTGGAGGGATTATTATTAGGCTCTGTGTGGAGTAAGGAAACTTGCCCAAGGTTTCGCCCTCTGCCTGGAATTGAACTCAGGTCTCTCACTTGCAAAGCGAGTGCTCTAACCACTGAGCTACAGGACTCCACTTATCACGTCAAGACATCTCAAAGCGCTTCACGGGATTATACTTTAAAGTGTGTATTTTGTGAGCGCAACGGGGCAGCTAATTGCGCACTGCAATGTCTCGTGTACGTTCCTTCCCCAACCCCCCCCCCACCACCACCTCCACCCCACCAAACGCCGCACTGAAGAGTAGTATAGATCGTGAGCTCCAAGTCCCAATGTGGGTTTGACAGTGGATCGTGAAGTGTTTGCACTGAGATTCTCAAATTCGCCCCTTGATAATTCCTCAGCGCATCTCCTTAAGCGCTCGATGAAGTCGGCTCCTGCAAAGCTGCTGGATATTGTGCGGGAGGGTGGGTAGGAAGGTTGTTAACACCGGGTTCCCATTTAGCACACTTCCAAGTTAAAACCACTTTAAAGTGTTTATCGACTCGGGGCTGTCACTTAGCAGCGGACGCCATGCATCACTCACGAGGGCAGCCTGTCAGTTTTACTTAATGAATACGATTAATGAGAATGCTTTCGATCGGCCCATTGTGCATCTTTGTCGAAGGCCGCTCCAAAACATCACTCACCGCAGGTTTTACCTTTGAGCTCATAACCTTGGGCTGCCACTGCCTGTACTGTACTCGCGCGCGTGCGTGTGTATGTGTGTGTGTGTGTTGTTCGAGGTGCTTTCCTTCAAATGAAACGTTAAACTGAGCTCCCGCCTGTCTGTTTAGGTGGATAATAATAATAATAATAATAATAATAATCCTTGCATTTGATATAGCACCTTATCACGTCTTTGAGACGTCTCAAAGCGCTTCACAGGATAAACTGTAAAGAGGATGTAAAAAGAAGGGCATTTCTCTCTCCCAGTGTCCTGGCCAATAAATCCAATTTGTTGTTGTTGTTGGACTTAAAACATACTGTGTATTTTACGCACTTTACGTGAGTTCTACGGTCCGACACCAACAACAAGAACAACACCAAAACAACGCAATTACACCTGTACGTCGGGAGGACGTCCCAAGGCACTGGACAATCAGTGTTTCGCTCTCGAAAGTGATCCAAGACCTGGTTCCTCTGTCCGTGTGATTCCACTTATCCCACTCTGGCTTTGAAGGTTTACGCGAACCTCAGTCCCAGCGGTGACACTCGCTGACAATCACCCATTAAAAATAATAATAATCCTTGGGTTTGATCTCGCGCCTTATCACGTCCTTTAGACGTCTCCGAGCGCTTCAAGGATTATGCTATAAAGTGAATCGATTGCATTTTGTGGGAGAAACCTGCGCACAGCAATAATAAAGCTGACATGCAGGAATGGCAAAGAATTCTACGTGCATCGGGGGTGGGTGGGTGGGTGTGGGGGTGGGAGTCGAGTTCTAATGAGCAGAACGTTCCGTGGGTCGCAGATTAGCAGCACCTTAAGGGAGTGCGATCGCGTCTCGATGCACATACACCGCCGGCTGAACCAGCGCTCGTTTTTTTTGCTGGTTCTTCGCTAAACGCTTTTCGTCTTCCAAAAGCGTCCTCGCGCCGTGCAAAACCGCATCCGCAGCGTCAGTAGGACTCCCTCGCACAGTCTGTCACTACAATCTCATCAGCACAGTTGCGAAGATCCCCGCGGCAAAACTAGGATCAAACCAGGGCTCGTCGTAATGCTCACTGATAACGGGAGAGCAGTTGGCTTCACATCCACAGGGAGTCTACATCGACTTCACATCATATGCTCATGGTTAGCGCGTTTGCCTCGCAGGCGAAAGGACACGGGGTTCAATTCCCGGATGGGGCGAGACCCGAGGCAAGTCTCCTTCCTCCGCAAGCCTTTTTGGTTGTGGTTTTTTTTTTGGGGGTGGGGTTTGGGGACGCTGCTGTGCGCAATTGGCCACCGAATACGCAGTCACTCCGCTTTACAGTGTGTTCTGCGAAGCACTTTGAGACGTCCCAATGGTGCGGTAAGGCGCTGTATCAAATGCGAGGATTATTATTGTTGTTCTTACTGTGAAATGCAATGACTTGCCCGAATGCTGTGTCCTGAACTCTACTGCGCGCAGATTGCCCACTGCGTTTGCAGCGAAACACAGTCACTGCACTCGTTTGGCAATTACCCGTGAAACCCCTTGAGGCTTTTCGAGATCCGAGGCTCTGTATCAGACTCTAGTTTTATTTAACATTTAATAGCCTCTCCGTGTTCCCACCTACCAGGCTGCGGCGAGAGCTCCAAGTGAGTGTTTGCTTCAATTATTTAACTTACAATTTCGTTTCTTTAAAAATATTTAAAGCCTGAATAATTAACCAATCTGTCATTTTAGAAGTCTTTTTTTCCTCCCCGACCCCCTCACCCCTCCCGCCTCTACCCGCACATCCCCCCCCCCACCACCCGCCCGCCCACACTCTGTCATTCTGTCCCTCCCTGAAGTTGCAACAGAAGGGCATCAATATATTAAGAGAAAATTGGCCGGACGCCTTGAGGGAGAAGGGAATAGAGGTGTAGAGGACTGGGGAATAGGAGGGGTACAGTATAAACATCAACACATGGGCTGAATGGCCCCATTTGTGCTGTCGTGTTCTATGTCATTGTAGAATATGATGATAACTTTGCTCAAATGTAATTCTTTAAGTTCTTTGTAAAACACTATGACGCCTTGCATCCAGTTGCCGCGTATTTTAGATGATGTCTATCATATAACGCGTTTGCCCAACAGTAAGTGGGAACTCGGTTGTTAGTCGATTGACTTTCTGGGGTAATAATCCCTCCAAAATTGGGTCACTAAATCCATGATAATAATAATAATAATAGTTGTATTTGATATAGCGCCTTATCGCATCATTAAGCCATCTCAAAGCGCTTCACAGAATGTACCGTAAAGTGGATTGACTGCGCATTTTGTGGGTGAAATATAAAATGCAGGCGCTATATCAATTGCAAGGATTTACTATTACTATTACTTCGTAATGCACCTGCTCAAACGATAAGCGCCTGCCACATTCGCCTACAAATACACAGTCACTGCACTTTACCACAATCCCCTGTGAAGCACTTTGTCCAGTGGTATACGTGCTGTGGCCTAGAGAAGGGCCACTATTATTCCGATAGCCAGTGACGAGACCCTGACTGATTATTACAGTCGCTATGTCTTAATGGGAAAGCTGTACGGAATAGAATATTTCCTTTTGTACAATAAATGATCTGAGACAGACGTCGTGGAAAGTATATGAGTTGCGGCTGATTTGTAGCAATCCCTCTGTAGTCTCTTCAAAACGCCCCGGGCAAGTATCGTAACAAGCATTTGAAACTGCCATAACTGCGACCTCTTCGGTTATTATTTATTTACGAGCCTTTTCTAAACACGAACTGAAGCAATATATTAATAATAGTAAGATAATAATCATACATTTGATACGTACGTATATATATAGAGAGAGAGAGAGAGAGATGGCGCCTTTCACGTCAGGAGAGCGCGGCGCGCTATCTGCTCGAAAGTGTGGTGACTGTGAATTCTTGGGTAAACTTGGCAACCGATTGGCACGTGATAATGCGCCACAAACATCCATGGAGTGGCCGATCATTTTTTTTTTCCTCTTGGCCAGGACGCCAGGAGGGAGAGAGAGAGAGAGAGAGAGAGAGAGAGAGCGCGACTCCCTTCTCGTTTGAGTGTAGCGCCATGGGAGCTTTAAGCGCCCGCTCGAGCAGGCAGACGGGACCTCATCCGAAGCATGGCACCTCGGACAGTGCGTCTGTGCCCCCCGGTGCTGCACTGGAGCATAGGCTTAGACCGACCGGTGAGCTCAAAATCCCAACCCAGGGGGTTCGAACCCGCAACCTTCCGCCTCAGAGGCTTGAGCTGCTACTGAAAGAATAAGTCAGGCTGAGGCAAGCGATATGTTAGTTAAAGATGGCGGAACTTGGACGGGAAGCAAACAAATCTTTTTTTTAGGTCGGTCGGGTGGCTGACAAGAGCAACCTTTCCAGATGGAGCGTCCGACTTAAACGTGACACTTACACTTGGAAATCTCACTGTCACTGGTATGAACAAGTACTCTCTCTCTCTCACTCTCTCTCTCTCTCTCTCTCTCTCTTTCTGTCTCTCTCTTTCTGTCTCTCTCCCGGGAGGGACGTGTCAACAAGGATCATCGCACTTCAAAGTATCTCATCGACGGAAATCGTGAAGCACTTTGAAGCCCTTCAGTGTGATAAATTGCTGTTATGAGTCGAAAATATCATCAAGCGCCAATCAATTATTCA